AAGTGAGATAAGACTAATAGCTGACTCCTCAGTGACTAAGCACTTATAGAGCTTATTACAGTGGGCATGGCATTGTAGTCTTGCCATCTATGCTAATTGGGTTAAAATAATACAGACCAAAATAGGCAACTTTCTTTCTTTCTTTCTTTCTTTTTTTTTTTTTTCTTTTTTTTTTTTCTTTTTTTTTTTTTCTTCTTTTTTTTCAGTAAGGTTTGAAGATTAGGAGTTTTTAAGGGCTAAACTAAACCTATTTTGTGAATATTACAAGTATGAGGATAATTGCCATCATTAATCAGATAAAAATATTTTGTGTAGAATACTAAAACAGAGCACCACAGAGTTCCCATGGAATCTCAAAATAAATAAAGATATGATTTGATGTACAGCTCAGAAAAAAAAAAGCATTTAACCAGCAAAATACAAAAGATATTTTTAATAATTGGACTCCCCATCTATTCTGTTATATAGGGGATTTTGAAAGATAAGTATACAAACCATGATAATGTTTGATGACTTTAATGGGGTTCTTAACCTCCCTGCCACAATTAAGGCCCAATTTATCCAGTTTTACCTAACAAGATTTGATTGTTTAACCCATTGCCGCCAGGGAAAATGAACAAAAAGTGGGGGAAATGCTGTGCCTATTTTCTATACTTTTTTTGTTAAATGTCTGCCCATAGATGGCTCTGTTAGCTCCTGATTTGAAATGGCGGGAAAAACGTATTTTTCACTAGTACCATGAATATCGATGGTGTTATTTTTATCATAAACATTATAATTTTTATAATGTTTTTTAACATTAGTAACAGCAAAATAAGATAACGTAAAATATTTCGTAAATCAAAAAAAAGGGTGAACGGGCGAGACAGGCAGTATTCATAACTGGCTCATTGGTGATTTAGTACAAGTGTAGCCATCTGTGTGTGAAAACAATCTAACAAGTAATCTCACAGTGGCCATGGCATGGCATGCCCGGCGGGAATGGGTTAATATTTTACTAGCTTGAGTTTACACACAAAAAAATGTATATTTGTATCCAATGCCAAATACATACCACAGCCATACAGCAAAGTTGGAAATGGTTATATTGAAAGCTGTAAAGCAATAAAATCCTCATTCATTATAAAAATCAATACACTATGTATTTACATATAATGAATGGCAGAAAGTCTCAAAAGATGAGAAAATCAGATGAAATCCAAGGAGCAAGCAGAAGTTAGATTCAAGGCTGAGTCACTACATCTCATTTACAACAAAATAAGGACAGAAAACCAGCCTTACATCCCATTCAGGCCATGGCCAGTGCAAGTATAGTTCTGATTAAAAATATTTTGTGCTGCTAGGGGTGAAGCAGTGCACATAACCCTGAGTATGGGTACTTTTTATTTTTATTTTTATTAATTATAACTATCTCTCTTTTTCTTTCTTTCTTTCTTTCTTTCACTCTTTCTCTTTCTCTTTCTCTTTCTCTTTTGCTCTCCCTTCCCCCTCTCCCCTTTTTGTATGCAGTATGAATCTAGAGTCAGGATTTAATGTCAGATGATCTATAATGATAAATGTTATTTTTTTTGCATAGTCAAAAGGGGGGAGGAAAAGTGGGTGAAAAAAAGAAAAAGGAAGAGAGAGAGAGAAACACACTAACACAGACAGTCTGTGTTTGTTTGTTTGTCTGTGTTTCTGTGTATCAGTCTGCACACAAGTCTCCTTGGATTAAACTAACAGCAAAAGTTTCCGTTATGGTGTTATCTTGTGTATTATTCTACTTGCAGGTTTGATAAGAGTGAAGATTGAGACTGTAATATATATCACAGGAATAATACTTCTAATGCAACATAATGTCTTTAGCTCCTCAGGGTTCAGGTCGATATCAAGAGTCCACCTTCAGTTTCTCCCTCACTCCACAACAAGCCAACAGAATTGCCAACTCTAGAGATTTACGGCCGGGCAGACAAGACTACTCCGTTCAGGTGAGGTTCCCTCTCCCTACATTCAGTGGTTTTGGTTTGCCGCAGGAAAGATCATGCTTTAATGGGGATCTTAGCCTGTATTTTGGTTGTACTATCATGTGAACTCATGACATGAAGAATGATCTTGATGTTTGTTCCTTTTTGTTTGTTTCGTTTGGTATGAGAGCTGAAGTGCAGTTTGGTTAAACTGTGATTATTATTACCTTTTACATAAAAACCTCCTCAGTCCTGTGTTTAGAATATATACATATGTATAATGTTATAAAAGAACATAAACAGTGCCATCACTCTTCTAGCATGTTTTTAACCAGTGTAAATGTATATTCATATTGCCTTCTTATTATTTTTAGTATTAAAATTGTCATTGAGTGCTAAGGATTTATTACTTCTAGATTATCGTTATTTGGAGTAACGTATCTACTTTCAGGTTCAGATGAGGTTTTGTTTGCTGGAAACTACTTGTGAACAAGAGGACAATTTTCCACCAAATATAGCAGTGAAAATAAATGAAAAGATGTGTCCATTACCGGTTAGTTTTCTATTTGTAATTTGTTTGTCTTTCTTAGGTATCTACTTATATTTTATTATGAATCCTATATCCTACCTCGGGGTCAGATTTTAAAATTAAACAGATTGAAACAGATTCTCTACTAAAAGAAATATAAACCTGTAATGATTGGAATCAAGCTTAGTTGCATCAGATGTCAAAATTACAAATTATATACATCACTTTCGTCAATTTGATAAGAGGTCTAGTCTTATTCAGAACATTTAATTAAGTTTTATCTTTGCACACATGTAACTGTATTATGTAAAGATGGATTGGTAGATCAGTAGATAATTATAGATATTGGTAGTTAGTAGTATTACTAAACTTGATCATATATCTATATATGCTTTATACTTCAGAAGAAAAGTATGCTAACATGCCTGACAATATTACTTATCACAGCGAAAATGAATGTTGTAACCTTTCCTTTTTCAGACTCCAATCCCCACAAATAAACCAGGAGTTGAACCAAAGCGACCGTCTCGCCCAGTGAATGTGACTGCCCTGTGCCGCATATCTCCCACAGTAACAAATCGCATACAGGTATGAAAAGGGGTACCAAAAGTGCTTCTGTTTGTATGGCCATGGAAGTTAAAATCCTTACTCTGGAAAGCCACCATAAGGGCCTGGCAAAAAGCAACATTTTTTGGCTTGGTTGTCCTCAGTACAAACCAAGTGGTTTTGGAGAGCTTGTTATGAATTGAGTCATAAATTGCTAGCTACCAGATTTCAGTAGCTGGTGATCCCCTCCACAGAAAAACAGCCAGCCAATCAGGAAATTAGGATTTATTGAACATCTCTTTGAACTCTTGGCATGGAAAGTTCACAGTAGTTAAGAGAATTGTTTTAGTATAATGTATGTGGTTAGGAAGGAGTTTATAGATAATATATACATATTTTACATATATACAGTTTTTTAGAGCTGTAATTTGAGATGTGGCAGTGGTTTATTGCACCCTAAGTATTTTATTGACAAACTTTTCAGCATAATTATACAGAATAAATTGTGTTTAAGCAACTTTTTTCATAAATCTAGTAAAATCGTATTATTTACACTTTATTACTTTTGCATTGATATATGATATAGTATACTTTGGAGTAATAATATATATGTAGTAAAGCAAATCAATATAATTTCTGTTTAACCTTTGGTCACAGTTTTGAACTAGTGAAAGAATGAAAATGTCACTTCTTGATTTATGATATCTGGTTCAAATTAAGATTGAAAATATTTCAAATAGAATATGTTGTAGTTATTATATATATATTTTTTTTTTCTCTCTCTCTCCCTCTCACAGGTATCATGGGCGTCTGAATATGGTCGCTGTTATGTCATATCTGTGTACCTAGTTCAGAAGCTGACCTCAGATGACCTTCTTCAAAGACTAAAAAACAAAGGGGCCAAAATTGCAGACTTCACACGATCTCTAAGTGAGTATTGCAAGGTTCTGTAAAGTGCACTTAATTCAATTTGATTTTTATCTTCTGTTTATTTATTTATTTTTTTTTTTTTTTTTTTTCTTTCATTGTTGCTACTTTTCACCCCCTCTATTTTTTCCTCTCCCCTTCTCTTTTCTTCAAAATCATTATAATACCGCTTTTCATTTACCTTCTTCATTTCAAGTGGTTCATGAGACTGGAAGAGGGAAAGATTAACCAGTTGGTGCTGATCACATGGCTTCGCGACTGTTTTTATTTTCAGCTGTTTTTACATATAGATGGATACTTCAACCAATTTGAGCTCAACTGTTTACCCAATTCCAAGAGTTGCTTAGGAGAGAAGGTTTTATTTGTAATTAATTATTTTGATTATTAATTTTGGTGGTGTTATTAATGTTGTTATTGTGATTGATATTTTTATTAGGAACATTATTAGGAATGATAAAAGTAATGGAGATAAAAACCTTTTTTTCTGAAAATTTAAGCATTAGGGTAAACAAATGTGATTAGTTAAGCCTAGTAATTGAATCCTTTATAATTTCCCACTTCTGAAGCCATTAATACGAATACAAGATTTATAAAATAAAATCACAGTGAACATTATAGATTTTTTATATGTATTTATTTTATTTTATATTTTTTTGAGAATCTCTTGGTAGTTTGTAGAGCCAGGCATACATTCTTTCCTTTCTAAATTAAATAAAAGGATACTGATTGTAGTAGTTATAGTAGTCACTGTGGTAATAATAGATCCAATGGAACTGAAGTAAAAAAGATTGCGCTCCCCACAGCCCCCATTGTGGAAGAAGTGAGTAGCAAAAAGAAGTCAGCCGAACCAGAGATTATCACCCTGACGGACAGTGAAGACGATGACGACACAGCTCCCCCCCCTGCCAAGCGCCCGGCCAATGGTCAAACCACTCCTGCGCCTCCAACACCCGCCTCCAGCACAGCAGCGCCAGGGAGCACAACGCCGCAGGGTTCAGGTAGGTGGTATAGGGGTGCGTGTGTGCGAGTGCGTGCGTGCAACAGACAGAGGGAATGATGGAGCTGTGGTAGTGGGTGTAGAGGTGAAGGTGTATTTTGTTATTATGATTTTATTTTGTTTGATTCACTGTATTGTTTTTTTTTTTTTTTCGTTTTTTTTTATCATCTTATCACTGTTTTGGTATCTACTCTTATTCATTTTTTCTTTTCTTTTCTTTTTTTCTTTTTTCTTTTTCTTTCTTTCATTGTTGCTACTTTTCACCCCCTCTATTTTTTCCTCTCCCCTTCTCTTTTCTTCAAAATCATTATAATACTGCTTTTCATTTACCTTCTTCATTTCAAGTGGTTCATGAGACTGGAAGAGGGAAATATTAACCAGTTGGTGCTGATCACATGGCTTCGCGACTGTTTTTATTTTCAGCTGTTTTTACATATAGATGGATACTTCAACCAATTTGAGCTCAACTGTTTACCCAATTCCAAGAGTTGCTTAGGAGAGAAGGTTTTATTTGTAATTAATTATTTTGATTATTAATTTTGGTGGTGTTATTAATGTTGTTATTGTGATTGATATTTTTATTAGGAACATTATTAGGAATGATAAAAGTAATGGAGATAAAAACCTTTTTTTCTGAAAATTTAAGCATTAGGGTAAACAAATGTGATTAGTTAAGCCTAGTAATTGAATCCTTTATAATTTCCCACTTCTGAAGCCATTAATACGAATACAAGATTTATAAAATAAAATCACAGTGAACATTATAGATTTTTTATATGTATTTATTTTATTTTATATTTTTTTGAGAATCTCTTGGTAGTTTGTAGAGCCAGGCATACATTCTTTCCTTTCTAAATTAAATAAAAGGATACTGATTGTAGTAGTTATAGTAGTCACTGTGGTAATAATAGATCCAATGGAACTGAAGTAAAAGAAGATTGCGCTCCCCACAGCCCCCATTGTGGAAGAAGTGAGTAGCAAAAAGAAGTCAGCCGAACCAGAGATTATCACCCTGACGGACAGTGAAGACGATGACGACACAGCTCCCCCCCCTGCCAAGCGCCCGGCCAATGGTCAAACCACTCCTGCGCCTCCAACACCCGCCTCCAGCACAGCAGCGCCAGGGAGCACAACGCCGCAGGGTTCAGGTAGGTGGTATAGGGGTGCGTGTGTGCGAGTGCGTGCGTGCAACAGACAGAGGGAATGATGGAGCTGTGGTAGTGGGTGTAGAGGTGAAGGTGTATTTTGTTATTATGATTTTATTTTGTTTGATTCACTGTATTGTTTTTTTGTTGTTTTTTTTATTTACTTGTGTATTTTATATTGAATTTAAAGTCATTGCTGTTGTTTCTTTATTTTTATCATCATTGTATTTGTTTTTGGCTTTCTTCTGTTGTACTTATGATTTAATTTTTTTTTTTTTTTTTTTTTTTATGTTCATTGATAATGGCATTTATATGGGGAGTTCCAATTTGATTTTTACTCACATAAAATGTTTAGTTGTATGGTTATTATGATTGTTGTTGTTATTGATTTGTATGATGAATTTGATTGTTATAATGATGCTTTCCAATTATTTTTATATCCCTTTTAACTTTTGATTCCAATTCTTGCAGTGTGCTTGTTTGGTCAGTGGCTTAATACACACGCAAACAGACAAACAGGACATGATCCCCCTCCCCATCCCCTCCTGTCTATTGTTTGTGTTTTTTTGTTTTTTTTTTTGTTTTTGTTTTTTTGCCATATGAGAAATAACCAAAAGTTAACAGGGCCTTTATATATAGCCATGTAAGAAAAGATGGAGTCAGACTGATTTGGTGAAGGATAACACAATTTTCCATAAACAAAGTCACTCACAAAATGGGACAGGTTGAAATAATGTATTAATTCAACTGCTAGGAAATATAGAAAAGTAGAGAAAAGAAAAAAATATGAATGTATAAAATATATGATATGTGTGTATAATATATATGTATATATATGTATATATATGTATATATATGTATATATATATATATATGTATATATATATATATATATATATATATATATATATATATATATATATATATTGATATATATTGATATATATTGATATATATTGATATATATATTGATATATTTATATATATTATACACACATATCATATATCATATATTTTATACATTCATATTTTTGAATGTGTAATATATTATACATATATAATTCATATATATATATATATATATATATATATATATATATATATATATATATATATTTTTTTTTTTTTATATATGATATGTATGTATAATATATATATATATATATGGATAATATATATATACATGTATAATATATATATATATGTATAATATATATATATGTATAATATATATATATATGTATAATATATATATATATGTATAATATATATATATATGTATAATATATATATATATGTATAATATATATATATGTATAATATATATATATGTATAATATATATATATGTATAATATATATATGTATAATATATATATATGTATAATATATATATATATATATATGTATAATATATATATATGTATAATATATATATATATATATATATATATATATATATATATATATATATATATATATATATATATATATGTACACACACACACACACACACACACACACACACACACACACACACACACACACACACACACACACACACACACACACACACACACACACACACACACACACACATATCTATATAACTATGTATATATATCTATATCACACACACACACACACATACACACACACACACACACACACACACACACACACACACACACACACACACACACATCTATATAACTATGTATATATATCTATATCACACACACACACACACATACACACACACACACACACACACACACACACACACACACACACACACACACACACACACACACATCTATATAACTATGTATATATATCTATATATATATCTATATCACACACACACACACACACACACACACACACACAAAAATATGTCTGTATGAATGAATTAATGTATATATGTATATACATCATTTTTCCTGGCATAAGAGCACTATCATACCTCAGAAATTCATCCCCAAAGTCCTGTATGACATTCTAGGGATTATCTATCTCTAACAAGGCAGGGGGTAGGAGTTTTATTCTTTTGTTTGATGTTATAAATCTAAAGAATGGCATATGTTTTGTAAAAGAAATTACCCTTGTTTGGAAATGTATGTGCTGGATTAAGTTGGCTAGAAAGTATCAGTAACTGAGGTATGGGTCTTCAATGCAATTAGTTGGCCGAATGATATTCCACAATACTTTTTTTAATATGTTTCTCTCAGATCAGCAGTCATTTGTTGAGGTTTAACCCATTGGATCAGGTTGGGTCATGGCAATCACAGGACCAATAATCTGGGCATTAGGCTTATGTGAGCAGCTGCTCTGCCAGGTAGCAGGCCAGGTGTGCGGTGACATGACTCTATGCCTCCTTTTCGCAAAGTTATTTATTTATTTTTTTTATTTTTTTTATTTGCATTATCCAGACTGTTTTCTTTGCACAGACTCCATGTCATCTTCCTAGGCAGTCTACAACTCAGTGCAAGAAAAATAAATTTTGTAACACTTTGTTATTAGTGTCATTTTATACATTCTTTCATAATATTTAATTTTCTATAATACAACTTGCGTTGCCAGTCACGGTGCCAGGAATATGATGCTGAGCACGGAAATAGCGTCCTCAGTGGAGCCAGCGCTCTTCCAGTCACTGCTTCTCGGACATTACATTCCATGCTCGTATATCGATGGGAATATAGCCAAATCACCAAATGAGTCTAAGAAACCTCCAAAAAGGTTTGTGCCTTCAGCCGAAACGCTCACGACGGCAGGATCACATCACCCAGCCTACAGCCAGATTTTACCATGACAGCATGTTCATGTCACCCACCCCTTGAGCCAGATTTTTTCATGACGTGATGGTCACGTCACCCGGATACAAGGGGTTAAGAAGAGGTTCATTGTCACTCAGTCTATCTTATATCACTTGAATTTTTTCTCAACCTACATATGTTGTTTATATTTAAGAAAAAGAAAAATCTTTGATGAGTGTTTTGAATAATACTTTGGTTGGTTTTAGCCTCCTGATTTCTTTTGCATTAGTTTTTTTGAAAAGTACGGTCTTCAAGGTTTTCCACAAAACTAAGAAAGTATAAAGGGTTATTTTACTTTGCTTGCTATTGGTATTTCACACTTAGTGCATTTGATCAAACTGGTTCACTTTCGTATAATTCTATTCTTTTTTCTTCTTTTCTTAATTTCCTTCTTTCTTTCTTTCTTTTTGTTTTTGGTAAAGGAATGTTGCAATTTAACTTTTGTAAAATTATATGCCAAGCTTACTAACTTTCTCAGAAATATCCTTGAAAAAAAAGGGGTGCAACTTCTAAGCCAGAAAGTATGGTGTATATGTGTATTATCTACATATGAATATATATTTTATATACAGTATATGAGTATAGATATATGTATTTCTCAGTATCTCTTATTTAGTACAGAGGCAGTAGTTGCACGAAGAAGGTCCTGTAACTATTTGAAATCTTAGAATAGTCATTTTTTTACACATGAGTTCATGTTGCTCTTTAGTGATTGAATTTTTGCTTGCAATGTAGACAAGCAGTTGGTTGAGACAGGTGTGGTAAGGATAGGCTGTGATAATTCAAGCTAGTGTTAGAGAGAGAGTTAGTGTTGGAGAGAAATATGCTATATGAAAACATGAGGATAGTCTGAGAGATTTTTTGCAGAGTAGTTGTATATTCTGATGGAATATTTTGAGAGTGATTATTGTAAACTCTGAAAGGTACTCAGAAGCATACTCATTATTTCACATTGGCACAAGAGAGACTTTTTCTTCTTTGTTTTTCTTTTTGGATTTTGCCAGTTACTGTTATATAAATTCTCATTGGAAACCACATTTTTCTTCTAAAAACTTTATTGGGTACTGAGGATTACATACAAAATGTCTTCTTTTCAAGAACCTTTGTCCAGCAAAGTAGAATTAGCATATCCCCCTGGAAAGCCCACCAGCAAGTACTTAGTCCTCCTTAGTCTTCATAGGAAGTCAAGGAGTTTGCTGGGGTTCAGGTGTCAGCATTGTTCTTTATTTACATTTTGGTCTCATTTGCTTCTTTGTTAATTTCCTTATGTAGTAGTTTTTTTTTCTTTCTTTCTTTTTTTCTTTTGTTCTTTTTCATTTTTGTCTCCACTGTACATCAGATAGATGACAGGGTTAGGGACAGTTATGTAGAGGACTTTAAGGTCAAGAGATTTAATTTCAGGCTGAAATTCTATCATGTGGTAGTTTTATTAGTCTTTTCTGTATTGTCTCTCTCTCTCTCTCTCTCTCTCTCTCTCTCTCTCTCTCTCTCTCTCTCTCTCTCTCTCTCTCTCTCTCTCTCTCTCTCTCTCTCTCTCTCTCTCTCTCTCTCATTCATATATATATATAATATATATATGTATATAAAATGTATTATGTATATTATATATATTATATATTTTTTTGTATTATACATATTGTATATATTATATATATTTTATATACCTTTTGTTATATATATTTTATATGTGTGTGTGTGTGTAAGTATATCAAGGAAATTACAAGGTAAAACAGACTGAAATAGAATTGATTTATAACTAATATAAGTAAAAATCATAAAGAAACCCCTTAACCCATATCTGCTGGGCCACGCATTTAGCCATCATAACAAACCGACTCATCATGCTGGCCATGGTAATAGGCTTTGAGCAGAAAGTTTCTGCTACATGTAGTGGACTCCCAGAAGTCACTGGAGTCAGTAATACCAAGAGATTTCTAATAACATCATTAAGGGGCTAAAATTGGAAAACAAGAGTCTATGCCACAACCAAAGTCTACAGGTGGAAGCACTAACTTTAACCTGTTACTAATGGGTCATGTGTACAAGCATCATAACATACTGCTTGGTCTGCGGGGTACAGCTGTACGTGCAGTGACACACCAAAGTGCATGGAGTGGGAAGATCCGCTTCTCGTAAGGGACTCCTGTGCCCAGTCTCTGGATGTTGCCAGAAATCACCAGAGTTTGTG